TCTTCACAAAATAAAATGTTTATAGTATAAGGTTAATATGTTTACATAAATTTACCTGTTTAAATTTCCAGGTTAAAACACTGCACTGAACTGTTGCACTACCTCAAGACCTAGGGCAAGTAGTACAGAGAACTACTGAACTGAGGATCGCTGCACTTTGAAAAAGAACAGCCACATCTGACGTCAGTTTCGTTAAAACGAACGCCTCAGTGTACACTTTCTGAACTAGTGCAACTAGTTAAGCTAAAAAGAACAAACTCTTATGTCTTCCCATGATATTTATAGCGTTTTCGATTAGAAAAAAGTTAGTGCGCACCAGTGCGCACTTAGTTCACACCAACATTGGACAAGTTCCATGGATTGCACTGAATAGTGCAAGTGCAAAAGAAAACGTCGAATGTTTCAGTGCAAGCTGAAGTGCCATTTGAGTTGATTAGATTGCGGGAAGAAATAAAAAGTAACTTTGACATTTCGTGTTTATAATAATTTTAATCTAACCTTTTATTTTTTATTAAATATTTGATATTTTTTATTAGGTTTTCATAATGGAAAAACTGGATGTCGTGTGCAGTTTCTGTGGAATTGTTGGATCATATAATACCATATTAAATTATATTAACTGCGATCATCCAGATCCAGAAACACTAACCACAAAAAAGATAAAATATACTTTTCAGCAGATCTACCACCATGCATTTCATTTTTTGGAAAGAAATCTGATTGCTGAAAACCATTTATTAATTGCTCGCATGTTTCTCGACACATTCTGAAATGCCTACAGAACTATGACAAATATGAAAATTATTATTTAGTATAAAAATGATATATTACATTAATTATATTTTAAAAAAGGTATAGGATGTACTTATACAAGGTGTCCCGCGTAACTTATCCCACCGGGAACTGGGAGGTAGATGGGATTGAAATAAATATAAAAGTTTTTTACCGTTTTACGATATTCGCAAAAATAAACGAGATATTAATTTTTACATTTGAGCCAATGAGAGCGCGTCGAGAGAAGCGCTCAAGCCCACTGATCTCTATATTACACTGGATGGCGTATCGAATAGGACAGCTTGTTACGGTAGCCATCTTTGATAAAGTAAAA